AAACCAGCGCTGGGTGCGGGATCCTCTGCGGGAAGGGGGGATTTGGGGCCCGGGTTCCATGGGATGGTTCCATGGGATGGTTCTATGGGATGATCCCATGGATTTGGGTCTGGGGCCTGCAGGGGGATTCGTGCCCGGTCCCTGTGGATGAACCCCCTCGACCCTACAGGACCCCACGTGAGGGCCAAAAAAGTGGGAACTGCAAAATGGGAACTGAATCCATGGATTTCCTGCATTCCACCAGCTTTTGGTGGCCAGCAGCCATGCAGCTCTGCAGGGACTGTCCCCTGTCCCAGCCCTGCCCTGCGGCTGGGAAAGGGTTTGGGTACCTTTGGAATTTGGATACCTTTGTCACCTTTTATGGAAAACAAAATTAAAAAAAAAAAAAATCCAGGAATAAAGCAGTGAAAAGCTCTTGGGAGCCAAATTTTGCACTAAGCGCTCCTCTCGTCCCAGCAGAACAAATTTCTGTCCACAGCCTGAAAATGTCTTTACCAGCTCAGACAGTGTCACCCTGACCCCAAACCCTTCACTTCCCACAGCCTGGGCACCCCCATGCCAGCCCTGTCCCTGCCAGGCCGTGGCTGTGACTCGATTTCCAGCCGAGGAGAGAACAGAAATACCCGCAGGGAGAGCCTCAGTTCTCCCGCAGACTCCCCAAATTCAGGAAACCCTCAGGTGAAGGAAGGAGCTGCCCAAACCGCCCTGACCAATGATCCCTGTGGGATTTCAAAGGTCTGGTCTAAACCCCAGCAGGATATGGGGTCTAAACCTCAGGGTGATGGATTTGTGCTCCTCCAGCCTTTATTCCTCAGATAAAAGCTGAGAGAACACAGCTCCTTTCCCTTTTCCCCCTGAAGCGATCGGGGATTTTTAGATCCTGAACGTCATCTTTTTACAGGGTCAGATCTGAGAATAACCACAGCAAAATAAATCAGGATTTGTACAGCCAGAAGGAAAAAAAAAAAAAGGAATAGACTGAAAAAAATTTAAATTATCTCCCCCGGAGAAGATCCTGGGGTTATTTCAGGTGACAGAGTTCTTCCTTGGAGCACGGGAAGTGGGGAATGCTGGCTCTAAAACCTCACCTCGGCGAAATAATTCACAAACCTTTATCAGCTCAAAAAAAAAAATAAAATAAAATAAAATAAAAAAATAAAAAAGGAGCGTTTGGGTGGGCAAAAAAAAATATCAGGATGGAATTTTGAATGGCCAAAGATCCAGCCCGACCTGCAGGGACGAGCAGAGCTGAGCCTGCGGAGGATCCCGGCG